GCTGGCCGTGAAAACCAATAAAATACGTGGTCGTCGACGGAACACGTTTTCGATCCGTTCGTTAATGATAATGTAAATCTACATTTTTATAACTCATGTGTTCTATTATAATGCGGTTATAAGAAACGGTCTTGAAGTACCGTACAACTAAAACGTCATCATAGATTTAAAAGCAGAAACAAAAAACAGTTAGTTTAATCCAAACACGTATCTGATCTTGGACGATGCAGTTTTTCTAGTTTGGCGTATTTTCAGATTAATAAATATATTATAATAGTGAACATACATGTATACATATGCCTATGGTGTATGCAAAGCTAATATGCATTTTTAAGCGCAGTGTTGTGTAATAGTATAATATTATATTATGGGACTTCGGGTTTCCGCGCCGTGTGAATCAATCCATCGAATGACGAAGTTCTATAAATAAAAACGTTTGGGAGACCGGATTTTTTATCGTATAAAACAACCGTGTACCAAAACGGCTATGGCGTGCTTGTTGTTTTCGTCCGAGTTTTTGGATATCGGGTATATATATATATATATATATATATATATATATATATATATATATATATATATCAAACATAATGCCATTGATTATATAGTCATTTTATACATGCGGACGATAATTTCACAATAATATAGGCATACTTATGTGTACGAAACTTATTTACATGAGTGCGCGTGTACGGTTTTTACACGTAAAAACCGATTACTTAAATGTAACCAAATTAACGACAACCGCGTGAGATCTGCTAAAATTAATATTTTCGCACTCGAGGTGATATCTTTGGTTATGGCCAGTGGCGGTGCGTCAGGGGAAACTTTGAGACGGCGTCTCCCCAATAATTATAATCGGAAAAAAAAATTGTTTTAATTTTTTTAAATTATTTTCAAGTATTTGTGTAATCTATATGTAAATATTATACGGTTGTCAGCTATATTTACTATATATATATATATATACATGTGTGTATTATATTATGTCCATCGTGGTGTGAATACGTATGATTTAATGAAAATATGTTCTTAGCTATTTTCGAATTCAGCGATAACAACGGACGACGGCATCGTTATACGAATGAGACGGTCGAACGACAGTCTCAATTCTAATTGACAGGAGGTAAATAAAAGTTCGGGAGGAATCCATTTTCGATAATGGTTACTGTACGGAGTCAGGGAGACTAGTCTCTGACACGTTATTCTTTGCGTATATTTGTGTAGTGGGTTATCTTGTACATTAGATCTCGTAGCGTTTTTGATTTAATATTGAAACAATGGAATTAAAACGTTGTACATTAGATGAATTATTAAACAATGATTTTCATTTATTTACGTATGATGAAAAATGTAAATTAAAAAACAAAAAGCCGACTCCATATTTATTGATTGAATATAAAGACGGAAAATTTACCCGTACATTTCAAAGTAGTTGATATGATAAATCTACGTGGCTTAGTGGTTGTAATTAACGCAATAAACTGTTTTTGTTTCATTTGTGTATTTTTCGAGGTGAAAAAGAACGGAGTTTTGATTGAATATCAACTATAGAAAATATAATAGGAAAAGCAGAAAAACATGCTATTTCGAAAATATACTTGAAAAATCAAGAACAATTTCATCTTTTGGGAAAAATTCGTATTGAACATGCCATTTTAGATTAATATTAATGTTAATCATATTAATATTTATATTAATTTGTTTGTTATTTTATCAGTTTTAATTTATATCTATGAAATCTATATCTATAAAATAAATATTAATTAATTAAAGTTTGAATTGATTTTCTATATACCTAATATACATATATATAAAACTATCACAATATTGTATACAAGAAACTATGAACGATCAATTTTTCAGTATCTAGTTTTAATTAAAAACTTAGAATGAAGTAGAATAATTTTCTATCGAAAATTTAATAATAACCAATAGTTACACAAAAATTAAGTCTCTCTGTAAATTGTATTCACGCTACTGGTTATGGTTAAAAGAGCGCGTACGGTTCTCACAAACACTTTAAACATATAACAGTTGTACCGGGCACGTAGCCAAATAGGGTTTCAACATCTCACTTTGTACCACATTTAAGCCAAAAATCTATTAAATACTACCAAACACTCTGGATTCCTGCAAAATTATAAGATTTATCGTTAAATAATTCGATTTTATATTTCATATTAAAGAAACGGAATATTTTGCTTTAATATTTGAAAGTCATTCACATGTTACGATTTATTAATTCAATTATTTTGAAAAGGCTGTGTAACCGCCCAAGAGTATACTTAAATGTACGTTTAAACATCTTCCTTTTAAAAAATCGTAGCTACTCGTCAGAGATACACGGTCATTAATATTTATTATTGTTACGCAGTCATTTATATTTTCTGCTGAAAACGGATTAAATACAATTACAAACTTATGGGGCTTATTGAGGTATAAATTTTATCTGAAATACTAAAATCGTAGTGAACTTTGTCGCCGGGAAGTTGTCCGTTAAATCGTTACAAAAATAAAGTTTATGAGTTGCAGATTTGCGTATCGAATTAATAACGTTAACAAAGTTTAAATGCCCCACTGATATTCAGTTAATTTTACACTTCATGTTACTATTATTTATTTTTTACGTATTAAATATTGTTTTGTATTATTAATATTATGTAATGCTATTGAATTGCACAAAATTACTAGTTTTCGTACAGCGTTTATAAATGGAGGGGAGCATACCAGTAGGAATAGCTCCAGGCATATCCATTTTTTATCGCTTATTTTGATTATTCCCAAGAATAAAAATATTTATAACCGTGTATTAATTTTAGATTTTGAGTGAAACGAGGAATACATATTTACATATTGATTTCTTACATTCAAATTGGCAAGAGATACGTATAGATACTTATTTATTTCAATTTTATAATAACTAATTATCTAATAATTACTCTCGTAGGAACATCGAAAAAATGTATTAAGAAGTTTTTTTTTTTTTCATTGTTCTATTGCTTTAGTTTGTTTTACCTTAAAAATGTTTCACGTGATTATGTACACCTTCAAAACTACCAACAGCGATCTTTGTCTGATTTTCAAAGACATATTTACGTTAATATTTTTAATAACTAATTACAATTCGATAAAAAATCGTTTTCAACCCGTGTATTCGTGTTAAATACATTTTTATCTCGTTATATTATGAGATATAGGTAACAGACGATTAAGCGGAGGAAATCTATGAATCATTCTTCGGTCGGGAAATCGCAGTTGAATAAATCGTATCCACGCAATATTTCCGGAACGTACGATCATTCGAGAATGCCGTCGGTCGAAAGTCATGACTTTGCGATCGAACGTGTGTACTGAGTGCGTTGATCCGATTGTTGATTTTGTGCACGCGATTCGCGTCGGGTATAGAATCCGGTCTGTAGCACGGATAATAGGAAAACGGCTGCCGTACCACAGAAATGGAAAAAGAAATTGAACCGAGATGAGTGTACGTACGTTTAATTTCATTTATGTGTACCAACCGGACACGCGGCGAGGGGCGGAAGGAACACTGGACTTTCCGAACATATATTACGCGTCGAGTACCGGACCCGAACGAGTCGAAGAACATCGAGCCCAAGTGGCTCACGTCGTTAACGATAATAATTTAAAAAAAACGTTCGTGCATTAGTACGCCATGGGCGTATTTTAGGGGTAGGGGAAGGGGTGACCCCCTCGAATTCGTGTTTAAGAAATTGATTATATGTGAGATATACATTTCGAATTTTTTTATTATGGATCATTTTATTACGAAATCAAATTACGCATGGCTATGAATACTGAATTGGGCTTTTTGTCGGGTCTATGCTTAGTGAAAAATCAAATAAAACACAAGCAACATAAAAGTGTTAAAAAATAACTACACAAAAGTCGATTCTAAGTGGATCCTGCATTAGATAAAAAAAAAAAATCCACAAATATTAAGGGTTCACCTAACCTGATTTAAATTACTTGTATACTGAATAAATTTACTTGTAAATTTAGAGCATTAACTAAAGAATAAATTTGAGTCCCCTCCCCCCATAGAAGTAAGTCTATATACGCCCCTGTAGTACGAGCACACAACTCGCTAATAACATTGCAGTACTTAACGGGTACGAATTGAAGGGCTCTGTGCAATAACCAGACAGCTCCGTTTCATCATTTTTTTCAGGAAGCACATATTTAATAAATACACAAGTGAAGAATAATAAAAAGAAAAATTATTTTATATACTTAAAATAGTGATAAAAACTGTGGTACCCTTTATGAAGTTGATACATGAATATTTTTTACACTTTTAGCCACAATTAAATACATTTTCCTGGAGCTGTCTTGTTCAACGTTCGGAGTTGGTATAAATCCTTTTTTTTATTTTTTATGATGCAAAAAGCTTACAAAGAATTAGTTTGTTTTTTTTAACTAAGTTAATAATTATTAATATTATGTACTGTCGAACAGCATACTTGAGTTTTAGGAAAAAAAAAAAAATTAAACCTACGGCAAAACCAAAACAGCTCCGGAGTTGTCTGGTTTTTCGTCGGAAAACGAAAAACCCGGTACCTCCATGACCATTATAATTTCTAAACGGACAGTCGGATTTATCTCGCTCTCGCGCAGAAAATCTGATGGTAATCTTTTCCATTCGAAATCGTGATAACACGAATTTCGCTGGAAACGGAGCTGTCCGGTTAACGCACGGAGCCCTTAAACCATTGCACTCGCGCAGAACACGTAACGCACGTCGTATTAAAACGGACGCGCGCATTTGCGGTATTTTTTCGAGCGAATGATAAAAATCGTCACAGCGTTACCACGTTCGTATGGGAAATAACAGCGAGTGCTGCGCGGCGGCGGCGGCGGCGGCGGCGGAAGCGTCCCCCACCACCGCCTACGACTGTCGGCAACGTTCGACTGGCCGACGGACGAGCGCGCGCACGGTCAATGTTGAGGAGATGATCTTTATATAAAAAGGCCCGTCGAACGCTCGTTCGTGGTCAGTACCGAGTTCAATGTCAATATCAGAGGAACCGTAGTTGGCGCGCTGCGCACGATTTTCTTTCGCAACGCAGTTCTTGGATATTCGGCACGATTTCCGTACGAAACGCATTCGCGCATCCGTTTCATATATATTTGTCGTACATTATTGTACCCGCCGCCGTCGCCGCGTTACATTCGGTTCACCGCGCCGAAAACCAACGTTGACCCCCCGTCATTTGCCGTCGGCTGCGGTGACCACAGTGCACGGTACCACTCCGTCATGTACCCGAACCCGTGGATAAGGAAACACTCGACCATCAGGCAGGTGATCGACAAGCTGTTGTCGTTGAACACGAACAAGACGAAAAAGTTCGACGCCATGCTGAACAAGAAGAAACAAAGCGGCGGCAACAGGACCGCAGCGGTGGACAAGCGTAAGCGTTAGCCGTCGTCGGTGAACATAACGCGAATTCTCGCCGCCACTGGTCGAGTCGATTCTATCACGCGAACGCGCTCAAACGCACGGCGAACGTCGGGCAACTTTTCCTCCTTGCCGAGGATATTGTACTTGTAATGTTGCCGGACGTCTTCCAGTCTACTAGCGGACCACCGGAAGATCGCGATCCACGCATCTCCTCCACCCGGTCACGCACCGTCGGTCCGGCTGCCGACACCGCCGCAGGGTTCCGTTCGACGACACGGCTCGCCTTCGCCGACGTCCGGGTCAACGGTCCACACCACCACCACGGTTGTCATCGAAATATTATCGTACCACGCAGTATTACTAGTGACATAATATTATCATTGTTAAGATTTTACTCGAAGAACAATACGTATTCCTATGGCGTAAGGCCGGGGCAAGACCAACCGCACGAGTCGACAAGGTGAGTGCTATTCTAGTTTGTTTCATTATTTTTTTCCCGATGGATAAAAAAATATTTCCGAATCGTATGCGAATCCATCACTCGTACTAATGTCTAAGGGGTCCCTATCATAACCGCCGGGGAGAAATGAGAATAATGCTGTTTTTGAAAAAGTTTCTCTCGCTCATTGTGTACAAACGTGTCGGTGGTTTTCCCTGGACACTGTGCATTATTATTATTATTATCTGAACGGTCGATCGCGGTTGAAACCGTGTTCGCGATAGGTTGAGGCGCGGGTACGAACGTAATTGCTCATTTTTTTTTCCTACGCGCCCTTGCACATTTATACACGCTATCTGTACAATTATATTTTTATTATTATTATTATTTCAACGTTCCCGAGTACTTTTATCTACGCAAAATGTTTCAATTACAATCGGTTGATACAGCGATATTCTAACATAAAATGATTATAATTATACGGAATTTTATGCCATCATTACTACACGCGGAAATTATTTCGTGCGAGTGTGTGTTTAATAATATATGCGTGTGTGCACAACACTATATTATGTATTTCGTCCACGTTATTTGTTTTGCCGAAGGTTAACTAACACGTGTATTATTGTTCATCGATCAAACCGTATCCGACGTAATCATTGAACCCCCCATTGGTTTTCTCTAACACGGTATCGATCTTGATCGTGCGGCAATATAGATCAGATCGTCGTCGAACACACCATCATACGCAGAAATTAACGACAACAATCACACGTTCATCAAAGCTTTAGTACGATTTTATTGATCAATACACAAAAACCGATATCGGCGCGGTTAATCTTGAACGGTGGTATTTTATTAAGTTGCGTATATTTGCATGTGTGTGTCTCGATAAGGAACTTATGAACACACATGATTCCTTTATCACACAACTAGCGTGTGTTTAAATAATATAATACATTGTGCAAACGGTTTCGCTATTATATTTTTATAGTTTCGACCAATGTACGCCACCGTCGTCGTCACCATTAGGCAATAATAACGCGTTGAATTCCTTCTTACACCCCAACAGCTTTTTACGGGTAAATCATCCGAACTCAAGATCAGATCGAATCGCAATCCGAAATCCTTGCAGTTGGCTCGTAAGTTTTTCATCAGCACTCGTAGCCACTACAACGCGGCGTTCCTTGAATTTATTCCACTTCGGTAATATTGCGAACCGATGAAAGAAAACAACCAGATATCGATACCGCCGTTGCGTGTATTTACGTATTGTTACGATAAATCACATTAATTATAAATCTTATTGTGCACGGTTCCCTCTGCACGTCGCTGTATCGATACAAAATGCAACGTTACAATGATAATTTCCCAAGCACCGTCGCAGAACTTCAATATCGCCATTTGTAAATAAATTTCAAATATAGCATGAAATGCGACCTTGTGTACCCTCCAATCGTCCCGAGCAAAGATTTTTTGCCGTCGAAAATTATCATCGTATTTTTTCCAAAGACTCGGTATACGACGATGACGTTGATGCAAGAACGCTTGTCACACAGTAAGAAATATAATTAAATCGGGCTAAAGAGAAGAAAAAAAATAATTAATCGACTTCCGACGACGACAATGCGTAGTGCACGCTTCATATTTGGAATTTTATTATGAAAGATATTTTGCGGACGATTAAAATACTTCATAATACCACATCGAAGATAATATACCGTTGTATAGGGCCTGTATAATATTATACCCATGACAATGAGGTTTTTTTTACACCTAGGATCGTTTAAAGCGAACAAATATATACGTTGATACTATATTATTTTAAAGAGATAGAAATTAAAACTTATAAATAAGATAATTCCTTGGATTTACGTACCATTGGTTTTTTTCTTTGTTTATATATTTTTCACTATCTGCAGAAACTATTTTGATTTATACGACCTCCGTGTCACGTTAATCTTCCGATAAGTACCTTGGGTCGTCAACGGACTGTGGTAATGCGCTACACGAATGTTCCAAAGAGGGTTATAAATCGTATGCGACTATGTGGTATTATATTACGATACATGTCATCATGTGGGCGGCTGTTCCGGAAGGCGCAGAACAAAAATGCGACCTTCGTCGATTACCGTTTATTTTCTTTCCTTTTGCGTGTTGCTTTCTCATCACCACCGTCGATGGTATACAGGACTAATCTGATAATACCTGGGAAAATATTTACTTTGTGTTGTGTTTTTTACAATGTGTACACATTTTTCATATTCAGATCGCGAAATAGATTTTAACTATACTGAATCTTGATATTTTATTCAAAAAAAAAAAATTACTGGACGAAAAGAACCATATTAAACACAAATTATTCGATAGTATTTTCCTTAACTCGCGTCATAATAGAGATTCTGTCTTGTTGTTATATACCTAATTCCGAACACTGCACTTCTGAGGACAATATCATAAAATGTTAAAACAAAAATAATATAATCATCACTTAGAAGCCTATATGTAAATTAAAAGCTTATATATGCAAGTTTCCCTTAGAACATGTTATAACCCGTCGATAAATATTCATCACCGGCATAAAATAAAACCTTTAAGACCTGGTGTACCAGTAAATAATAATAATAACATTAAATCGATTGTGTTAACGTTTGATTTTTGTTTGTTGCAGCCGTTCGCATTTTGTTCGCACGCGATGATGCTGTAATGCAACACACGTCATTATAGATTTCGGGTCAAAATAGTGTTTAATGTGCCCATATAAGCGGCCGAAAACAGATTTGGACGAAAGTATAATGTACAATGAACGGCGATGAAGACTGACTCGTAGGTTGCGTGACATACAACGCAACGACTACCATCTGTTTCGCAAAAAGGTGAGAACACGTTTTTTTCTCCCGAAATTGAACATTATTTTGATAAACTATTTGGATTGGCAATTTTCTATACATGTGTCCAACGATTATCCTGTAATAATATCCTTAATATCCTGGCAATCACGTTCGTCGTGTCGCATCGAATATATTTTGTGTCTATATTTCCACACATTAGTTGAATTCCCAATTCGATAAATACAAGACGAAAATGTATTATTCCGAAGTTTCATAAAAACGTTATTGTACACGGTGTAATAATGGATCCTAATTGTATTATAACTAGTGGCGTAATATTTTCAAAATGTTTGGGGTAGTAAAAGTTTTGAATTTCACTCATTATGTAGTAGTTGGTATGTATTTAGTAGTAGTATGAAATGTTATTTCTTTTATAGATCATAGCAATTTAAATTTTTATCCATATTTATTGTGTATGGTTTAATTGTTGACAGTTATTATTTTTATAAATATAGAGAAATTATGAATTTCTATGCCTTGATTTAATACCATTTTCTTATTTTTCTTTTACACCTTAATCATTAAAAATGCAAGTATAAATGCGTGTTTGTATTGATTTTTCAAACAATCAAGCTTAATATGGTAATTAATTTTCATTTTTCATTAAATTTATTTTCTTTTAAATGTGATGCATAAAATAATCCGAATCACACGGTTAGTTAAATACGTTCGAATAATATATTATAATATATGTGATAAGCTAAATGAAAACAACAAAATAATAACCGACTAAATGTAGGGACAAAAATTATTTCTTGTTACACCGGACGTAAACACACACCTATTATATGTGATCGCGTATTATTATTTGATGTTGCGGCTTGTTGTTTTTCTAGAAAATTCGCGAAGATATATTCCCGTAAACAATAACCACTCATGTCAATCAACATTATTTTTCGAGTAATTAAAATTATTAACTGTGTGGCCATCAAATGTAAATCATTTTCTTTAATTACTAACACTATACCACTCGATAAATTGAAAAAAATGACCGACTGTTAACGAACGGGTTAACTTATAAATGAATCTTAATTTTATTTTATAATACTTATGCCTCCGTTTCGATTGTTTATATGGATGTCATTATCCGCATTGTACACTTTTGCCTCTCCTAACCGTTTGAAAATTATTTATGAAATTATGCTCTTCGTTAAACTGCACTGACGCGGTATAATCAATACAATTTAACTAATTGTTTCTTTTTTTCACAGTAACGTTTAAATGTTGAAGTGAATGTGTGAACGCACATTTCAGTCGAAACAAAAATTCTACAAAATACGGACTGCTATACACGTAGTACAATTTTTTTTTTTTTAAATTATTTTTGTTATTGTTATACGTTGTACAAAATTGTACGAACTTGTAATATTGTTTTTATTTTTATGTGTAATTTATTTTAGTTTTAACTAGTTATATTGTATTTTCGTACATAAAGCGATAAATTTTATATTTTTATATACATTGTGATTAAAAAAATATTCACCATCTATCTTATCTCTTATTGTTTTATTTTGATAGACAATAAACTATAGTACACTTATTGAGAATTATATTTACTGTAATCAATAATGTTATCCACGACTTGTAATGCTAATTTATTCCTTTCTACACGTTTTCTAGGCGTTCCACCTAAAAATCCTGTCGAAAACACTTAACGAGCATTTTTGTTATGTCGGCTGAGCATAATAGCATAATTTTTCTTTGTCAATCACTTTTTACGAGTTAAGAATAGTTATAACTAATAAATAGTTATAAAACACTAAAGTTTTATTTTTTGGAAATTTCATTGCTCGAATCGACCAATGGCAAAGATCAAAGTGTATAATACAATGTATTATTTATCGATCGCAATCGCCATCTTGATCCAAAATGTATCAACTACAACGGGAGTTCAGTTTAGAGGTGTCTAAATTTAAAAATGTTATGAAAGAGGAAAAATAACTACAGCAATTAAGTTTTATGACTATAAGTTTTCGTTGACAATAAAGTTACGACGAACTTTATCGAATATAAAATTTTATCGGAAATCTTCGATCGGCGGACGATCATCGTATCAGTGGCGCATACAGGATTTTTCAAAGGGTATATCATAATATACATAAATTTATGACTTTTTTTTTGCCGATCACTTCCCACTATGTTATAATTATATAGGTAATCTATATAAATAATATGAAATAAAAGAAAACATATAGGTATATTATATACAATATTATGAAATAAATATATTACACATAGTTATAAAATAAAGTTAGTAGTAAAGTTTTGTTTCGTAAATGTCTTAATTATCTCCTTCATTTTACCATGAATATTTAGAGCTACTAAACCATTGAGTCTTAAATAGCCAACAAAATATCGAAGATAAGTCATGATTATTTTTAATGTGGAAAAACTTCTTTCTGGTTCACACAATGTATCAGGTATTGTTGAAAACATTTGAAGCAATTTGAATACATTTGGAAAAAGGTATTTACTGCACTTACCAAGAGCATCTAGAAAACCATGTACACTGAATTTTTGCAATTGTGTATGCCAAAGTTAGCGGTCCGGTATTTAATCTGTAAGTTTTTTCGTACACCACACTGAAGCAGTGTTTTATGATGTAGTAGAACGAGTGATTCATAAACATATAGTAATGATGTTCAGTCGTATGCATTTTCACGTTATCGGTCGGATGGAGGAGGAAGAGAAGATAACTCTATACGGTTCTCTAAATATTTCAAAATCAACGATTTCGGGGAAAATTGATAATTGTTTGCGTTTTACAATACAGTCATTATTAAAACGGGAAAGTCGAATTCAAAATCTATGGGGGAACGCATAAATGTCATTAAATTTTCCAGTGCATACTATAAAATGTTTTATCCTCGTTTCATTTGGTTGATTTTAACAAAGAACTATCTGTCATTACCTATAACCTATGTACCTGACATTTTAAACGTATCTTTGAGACAACTTTTGCTTCGTTAAATATGTCTTCTTATTGAATCCTTCCAGAGTTCTTGTCGACAAAATAATTAGTATATGCTTCGAACATGGTATCGGAACAAATGTTCGTTCCAACGAACACTTGTTAAATAACGAAAACTTTAACAAAATAATTGTATTTACATTCTACAATGTAAAAAATATTATTTTTCATATATACTGATACGAAAAAATTGTATTTAATTACAGAAACATGAAAATATAAATTTACAAAAAATCGTTAATGTATAGTATTTCATAATTAAGTATTTTTATTTCTGCGTTTTTGACGTTCTTCGCACATAAATAGTGTTACTTGCATATTTTACGAGTACAAGGGTTGTAAGTATATGTAATTTAATCTTAAGATAATATACAAACGTTGGTTATTTTACAAACGCTTGATTTTATTGCTCAGCAAGAATCGTACAAAATATTTTACATTTTTTAATCGATTACTATTGGAGAATAGACAGCGCAACGTAGATTATTAGTCGTAAATTTTTTTTTTTTTAGGCTTGGATTAAGTAAAGAGTAGATGGTTCCTGAAGTAAAATGAGGTTACTTTTAAACATATCAGTATCAGTACTTACAAGATCGAACATTTTCGAATTTTTGCAAGTTATGCCGCTACTATCATTATACACTTGATATATACTACCGTAGTCGTTTTTTGACCGGTCGACCTTAAGAGTTTTATAATGTGGTTTTTTTTTTTTACCCGTCCGCGTTCCGTTACAAACCGCTACATAACATAAGTGTGCACGGTTTTTTTTTTCGCCAAGATTGCCTCCGATTAATAAATATTATAAGAAAAGGAGGAGGAGAAAATATGCCCAAGATCGTTTTTGACGATTTACAGTAGAATCTCGCTGATCCGGAGTATGGGATCGGAATCTATCTGGATTAATCGGAACGACTTTCTTTTTCAAATTTCTAATAAATATTTAAAAAAAAAAAACACCCCATTTATAAACATTCGAATTGTATTGATTTATTTTACGTTACACATTATATGTGTTATATCAATATAACTGTTCAAAAAATTAAAAAAAAAAATTCATTAGACTTTTAAAACTCCGTGATATTATTTTGTTTTGTCGTAGAGATACCTACAATTTTGCTATAAATACATATGTACGTACGCATGAACCTAGAAATATATATTTCAATTATGTATCAATAATATACGTCTTTCAATATATAACAATCCACATCAACATAAATAATTTATGTTTATGTACACATAAGTACTAAAGTACGAAATATAAATTGTCCGGATTATCCGGATGTTATGGATTAACGATGACCGGATCAGCAAAACTCTGTACATTTGATGCGCGTGTCGTTATTACTATCATAGAAAAGCACGCGCAGGAAAAACAACCGTATGACTTTGCAAAAGACAGCGATAGTTCATGTGCAATATCCTAAAATTATTATCATCGGCGCAATGTCCAAAGGTTATGGTTTACATTACACCGACTTCCGCCGCCGCGTGGTAGCAATTGTAATATACGCGTGATTAATTAATATGCGTATCAGAAGTGTGTGGCACCCAACAAACGATTATATGAGTTTACGTTTATCATTCGTGTCTGCAACGTCGAGGAAATCGGAGTACATAAACAATAACATTATATAAGCTGCACACGCGCATACACGTGCGATTTAAACAAACATGGGTATTTAGAATAAATACTCGAATACTTACAAAAAATAGTATTCCGAATATGTATTCGGAATACTACCCAAATCTAGATTTAAACGAGTACGTAAACTATTGTACTAAATAGGGTCGTAGTAGCTTGTGATCATACGCAGGCCATACGGATCGACCCGAAAAATGAAGTTTAAAACAAGATACGTCGGCAGACGATCCATAAAGCAGATCTGCCGGGTGTCAGCGCTCCGTAATGGCAATTCGTACGGTCGACCCCAGTGGCGGATCCTGGATTTTCTTTTTTTCTTTTTTAGGGAGGGGTTTGAAAATTTTTTTCCCTTGGGGTATTACTTATAACATTGCAGTCAGTGATTGATAATGAATTACGATAATAGTAAATAATATAATTCATTAATTTAAATCTAAAACTACTATTTTCTTGTATGAATAAAAATACAAATTATATACTTTTCCCTCATACTTTAAAAAAAAATCTTTTTTTTTTAATTCATAAAATTTTTGGTTTTTAAAATATATATTTCCTGATTATTTTTTTATGGGAAGGGGGAGGGGTGTTAATCAAATGATATTTTCGGAAGCATCTCGTAATTTCTTACAGATCATTGCTATTTCCAATTCATGCTCATTATTTGTTAGTAGTGCAATATCGTCAGCGAATCTTAAGAAAGATATTATTTCGTCGCCCACTTTTATGCCTATATTATTTCTGTGCAGTTTTTTTAATATTAAATATAAAATATTGTCTTATTATTTTAATAGGCTGTTCGATATAGATATTAAACCAAATTGGCAAGAGTGGACAACCTTGTCTTATACCCTTCCTAATTATCGCTGCCTCTTTTTTGTGCGTTACTTATATTGTAGCTGATTTATCTTTGTATAAATGATTTATTATTCTTCTATCTCTATAATCAGCTCCAATTTCTTCTAAAGTATAGATTAGTTGTTTCCACGGTACATTATCAAAAGCCTTTTCCAGATCTATAAACGCTATAAATGTGTCTTTATTAAATTATATTTGTTTTTTTATCAATATTCTTAAGCTTAAGATTGCCTTTCTAGGACCTTTGTTCCTTTTGAACACACATTTTATATTATAACTCATGAAACCATGTTTTAGTAAAAATATGTATTTACATACAAATTGAGTTTTCCACGCCGTCATGAATACATTGACGAGAAAGTAACAAAGCGTTCGGGTACCAGAATGCTTACCGACACGTTTGCGAATACAACAGTTCTCTTCGAAACAACGCACGCTATTCGATCGAGCGCCTACGAACGCTGTTGTTAATTTGCCTTTTATTTTTTCACCGACGACTTCGGTTAAATCGGCATACGTAATATTTTTGTTAAAAACAATCGGTTAACGCTGTACTCGATTCGGTCAAATGTACGAATGGTACGTTTCTGTCATCGAACACTCGAGATCGGATTTCACTGTTTTGAACGCAGTCTTTTCGGTGGAAGATATACATATGCGGTCTACTACGTATGTTGTACGTGTAGTTACGTGGCAGTACGACTACTTATGATTTATTCGCATTTCGAATAAGTTATTAAGTTGAACAAACCTAAATCCGAAATCGCATCGTTCGACTCTCGATTAACTTTTGATCGATGTTTTGTGTAAAGCTTTTTTTTGTTGGTACACGCGTATAAAACCAAATTCATGGCACGGCACCTTCATCCTCCTCGAGAGAACGTCTCGGCAACG